TGCACTTCTGACAAGGCTGAGCCTGTTAGCAAGGAAGAGGCAGAACCAGTACCCCAGATTACCAGTTCGCTCTACAGTGGCGTCGTCGGCTTCAAGCTTTATCTAGCTTGCTTGTGCGTCGAGTGTCCACGGTTGGGGTCGTCTGGAACCCGGCAGACAGTCGATACGCGCGACTGTCGATACGCGCGACGTACCGCTAGGGTACCGCGCAACGGGGCTGAGGCCGCCGACAAAATCGCTGCCTCCGAAGACGGGAGCGTGAGCCCGATTGCAATCGAGGTGCCGACGGAGCACTCGAGCATTCCCGAGCGGAGCGTGATCAGGCTCGTGGATCGTTCCGAGGAATCGATGAAGACCGCGGCGGTTTGTCGGCGGGGCGGAGCGGCGTCCTCGCCCAGAGCGGGATCGGCTCCTGTGGGAGTGCGTACTCCGTCGCCCCGTGGGAAGGGCGCAAGCAGCACAGGTGGGTTTCGTGTAGAGGGTCCGGTGACCCGATCGCAAAGGATGTCGCGCCGTAAGAACGCTCGTTCGCCCGTGACGCTGGGATCGTTTGTCCCCTTGTCTCAACCGGTTGCGCCCCCGGCCGCGCGTGCCCATCGCTCGTCTCGTGTTACCGCGTCGCGGTCGTATCTGGCGGCCTTGTCCGGTTCCGAGGCGGAAGACGGGGACGAGGTCGCGGACCGGTCCGACGAGGCGAGCTCGTCGGCGGAATCGGCCACGTCCTTTTCGGCGTCCGAGAGTGGGGCGGTGGTCGGTGCTCGGGTGTCGGCGGAAACGGCGGTCGCGGCGGCGGCGGCCAGGGTGGCGGCGGACCGCGTCACCGAGAAAGGTCCCGGGGCCGCGGCTCTGGAGAACCAAGCGGACGACTATCTGTCGGCCCAGGTGAGCGGGTTAGCGCGGCCGTCTCCCGCGGTCGTGGCTGTTGGGGGTATTGTTGCCGGTTGGTCGGTGAACGACCGAAAACAGTTACTCGCAGAATTGCTGGGTGCGCGTCAGTCGCAGGGTACCCGTGACCCGGATCTACCGGCTACGTTAAAGCTGGCCCGAGACATTAGCGTCGGGGACGCAGATTCAGGCCCGGAGTGGGCGAAGTCTGTGGCGTTGGCCCAGTCTTTGGAAGACGCAGAGCTCGCTCTTAAAGTGCATTGCCTTGCGGTTGTTGACGGTCGTCCTCCCCCGAGTACGGTTCGCTCGAAACCCAAACCTTCGAAATCCAAATCACGTTCTCGTCGTGCGCCGGTTTCGCGTGCATTAGCGGTCCAACCACACAATCGCTTCGCGGTCCTTCCGGCGCCTGATTTGCGTCAGGTTGCGGAAGGCGCAGGGGGGTCAGCCGCGTCCTCGCCGGTGTCGACGAAGCCGTCACACCCTGTTCGGCAGGCTGCGGCCGGGGCCCGAGGAGCAAAGGTCGACACGCCCGCCGTGGGCGCGGTTGCGGTGCGCTCCCTGAATGTTTTTGGGTGTCTTATTACTGACTCTCGGCAATCTTGCGATCAGCTCTGTACGGCGAGACTGAGAGCAAAGCTTTATGAGTGATTCATGTGCGACGCTTAACGGAGCCAAGCTTCCGGACGGATCCAACTGCAACCAAGCGTTACAAACAGTCACACGTCAGTCCGTGGTCTGTGATTCTCCTACTACACAACCATCTGATTGGTTGCCTTAATCCAGTGAAATGCACAAACACATGTTACTGGCTAACTCTCATAATCCTGGGTCTACGCTGGTTATTGCCTGGGCCCTAGGTCCGATGCATCCAGCTGGCTACATCAGCCCTAGGTCTACGCTGCTTGGTTGGTCGGTCCAGTCGTCTAATCACTCAGAATTGTGTCGACCGTTTCAGATAATAACCAATAACGCCCCAGGAACTAGACTGAACACCCATTCTCACCACATCAGCCCACCCTTGATCATAAGTAAATCTACTAGATGATTTCGCTTATGAACAACACAAAGTCAAGTGAGATGGTAGATGCTTCCAACCACTTCACACACAAAGTATATCCTAAAACATTCAAATTTTTCTTTCAAAACTAAACACAAAAAATATCGCCAAGTCTCTCATTCTATTCTTGTCGCGCATCGATTAACGTACGCATTCGCCATGATTTCTCAGCGAATTCAACATAAAACTCGTCAGACATATCACAACATCCAACACACACAGGCAGGCTTCTTCCAATATGCACCAACATGCACCTTCAGAAGCACAACCACTGCACATCACCCACACACACATAACAACATAACATCAACTACATAAAACAAATATCTAGGCCCTCTTGAACTAAAACAATTGTTAGGGTATAAATCCCAGAACCCTTTAACAATTATTCGAAACCTCCATCTTCAGTTCTCGTCGATGATCTTCTTCAGTCTTGAGTGTCCTGGTCGATGATCTTCTTAGTCTTGAGTGCTGTTTCTTGTCGACGATCGTCTTCCGTCTTCAGTCCAGGGTGTACCGGAAACTAACTCTTAACGCTGTCTCGCCCCCTTGACCTGGTGTGTACATGCCAGCACCAAGTCCCCGGTTCTTCATCGAATGTCTTCAGAGTCTCTTAACTCAGGTGTACATTCTCTTGCCGCGCAAGATCCAAGAACTTCACGGTGTGTGGGTTCTCCACGCTCTCACCATCCTCCGCCACCATAATCATCTTCGCGATCTGCCATCCAAAATCGCGGGTTTTGAAATAAATGCATGACCCGATCATACCAGTGCCATACAGGGTGGGCCGCTCACGCGTATCACAGCACACCTTAAACCCTTCAGGCACNCGCGATCTGCCATCCAAAATCGCGGGTTTTGAAATAAATGCATGACCCGATAATATCAGTGCCATATAGGGTGGGCCGCTCACGCGTATCACAGCACACCTTAAACCCTTCAGGCACATGTCTTCCACCATTATGCCTGGCCTCGGCTCTTTTTGCACATTGGACACGGTATCTTCGGTACTTCACGATTTCACCACCGACCAACTCGATTTTTCCCGTCCAATACCTCATAACGAAATTACCGTACTGTTTCAATTCCTCCTCGTGCTCCCAAGTGCACAGTTCGGTTTCGTCCCAATGTGTGTANNNAGGGCCGTTTTAAACGGACCGACTTTTTTGTCAAAATGTTCGACATTTGTCTTTCAAAAACTTGGAACCTGTGTGCAGTCATTTTAAACGTGTGACGTAGACTTGTGCAACTTGTGTCAAACAAAATGACGCCGTCCGTGAGTTGTAGCGCTCACTTCGAGACAACACAGACGACACAACACAAACCGCGGAAAACACGACATCATGGACACCGACATGGATATCACGACCACCCAGCGTGGCCGGCAGACCAAAACCCCGGCGAAATTCCAGCAGACGGGCTCTCTCGGTGCCGCCGTAGGCGGTGGAGGCTTGCTCTCCAGCAAGATAGTGCTGCTGCCTGGCATCTCGGGGAACACTCATGTTACCACGGGAGGCGCTGCCGCCACCAACACTCCGCCGGCGAGGGGTGGCAACCACTGCTCCTACCCCCCCGGGAAAAGGAAAAAACAAAGCGGCGGACGCGAAGCAACAACTGCAAGCCATCATGGCGGACCGCCGTTTTTTTTTTTTGTATTGCGCGTGCCCGTGGGCGAGGAGAGCCGCTCGAATCTGTAGGCGCGCCGCGCTTTCTACGGTCGGCCATGACCCACACACAACCCTAGCTGACTTTCTACGGTGAGGGGCACTCGTGGTGCAGACGCAGCAGCCCTCGCGTGCCTCTGCAAGGGTACTTTGGAAAGTGCTCCAAATACTTTGAGAGGGTTGTCAAAAAGTTGGAACGAAGTGGAGCAAAGTTTTCGCGCCCAACTTCGTTCCAAATATTTTGAAAAAATATGGACAAACGCCTACATACAGGTTCCATTTTTTTGACACTTTCAAAAGTTTTGACAAAAAGTCGGTCAGTTCAAAACGGCCCTAACTCAGAGTATTTGTTCAGAACATAATTACTCATGGCCCACGGTAAAAACCTTGGTTTGTCATCCTCTGAATGGGGGCTAAAACATTTCTTCACCCTCAATACAGATACCCGAGATGTTATGTCTCTTCCCGGTTCATCCTTTCGTACATCTAAGAGCACCAGTTTAGGCCCCACCTCTCTGCCATCAGGCGCGGTTCCAGGTCCAACAAATAACACCCGATATGGTCCAGTCCAACAGTATGCCAACTTGGACACCAAAGCAAAGGATTTTCTCTCTCCAGACTTGATTGTTTGAGGTTTCAGCACATGTTTCCCTCCTCCAGTTATAGTGCTTTGATCATTGTACAACCACACCCAATCGTTCGCGTCAATTTTAGGGCGCCTGGTTTTGAGCTCCTTCACCAAAGCTTCGTTAGCCTTAGCGTGTTTAGCTTTGATCAATCGGTTCTTCTTTAACCAGATCATAGGCTTTAACTTGTCTAGCCCTCATTAATTCGAGATAGTCGAGCTGATCTTGTTTAAAGCTCTGGTGACCCTTTACCCCACGACCTTCCAAGATCGTCATCGGTAATCTGGTATATCGACCTATGTGGATCTCATTAGGAGATAATCCGGTNCGACCTATGTGGATCTCGTTGGGAGATAATCCGGTTCCCCTGCTCATGTTGTTTTTGTGTGCTGCAATTGCAGTACTCAAATATTCATCCCAATTCTTCTGGTCATCCGCAATTAGATGAGACAACATTTGACATAGGGTATGATTCAGACGTTCCACCATGCCATTTGTCTGTGGGTGATATGAGCTAGTAAACATTTTCACCGTTCCCTGCATCCGGTATATCTCCCTGCTCATAGGTGCGGTAAACTCTGCCCCTCTGTCAGACAGAAATGTGTGCGGACAACCCCATCTAGGGATATACTGTTGCACCAGTATTGCGGAACATCCCTGAGCTGTCTTTTCTGCAGCGGTTAATGCATATGCTTCAGCATACCTGCCAAACAGATCAACCATCAGAAACACATACTGTCTTCCTTTCTTGGTTTGTGGTAGAGGTCCCAAGAAATCAAAGGCCACCATTTCACCGGGCCTACTCGGCAAAGGTAAAGATACTAGGGGCCATCTTCTAGTATGCCTCGGAGCCTTCCTCGCTTGACATGCGTAACAAGCTCGGCACCACCACTTTACACTTTGACTCTGCCCTATCCACCAATAATATCGTTTAAGGATTCCGAGAGTAACCTTCTCACCTAGGTGTATCGCTTCCTTGTGAGCGCAGTCCATCACCCAAGGTCTCAAAAGCATCGGCACGTAGGTACGAACAGGCTCTTCTCCCAATAGTCGTTCGTACTCCCCAGGATTCCTGTTAGGACGTTCAGCGGGCATTGCGGTTAACTTCTTGACCAACAATTTCTGTCCATCAGGTAACTCCAAGAGTTCGCCTTGTGCCAATGGTCTATTCTCTTTATTTCATCAAAATCCGCACCTATTGGTAGATCATCCTTC